CGCTCTCTGTCTGTCTCTCTCTCTCTCTCTCTCTCTCTCTCTCTCTCTCTCTCTCTCTCTCTGCGTGTGCGCGCGGCAGCGGCTGAACCTGTTTTTATACAGTCTATGGGCTGAATGCACAGAAAAAAGCACGCAAGTTAAAACTGCTTGAATGTGTAAACAGGCAAGACAAAACATGTGCAAATGATAAACTTTCATTCTATGATGGTTAAACACATGCGTGCCGAACCGTGGGGCCTGGTCCGTACGGATCATCTACGATCCGTTGCACCCCTACTGTTTAGCATTTTCTAGCACATCTCACTGGAGGGCAGACATACAGAACTGTTTATAAAGTCACCCTATTGCACTGAAAGTAATGCAGCTTTTTATAGTCCTGTTGCTTTATATATCCAAGATTATTGACTGACATCTAATCAACTTGATTGACTTGAACTTTATTTCTAACAAGAGCTGTAATTACATTAATTTGCACTTCAGTTTTTTTCATAGTTAGCGATGTAGAACAAACATCTTTATGCATGTTAAATGGGCATGGCTGCTTATTTTTTTTTAGGTTTGAAGCGTCTTAAATGTCTCTGTGAACAAGCCGTGATTGTGTCCAAAATCAATGGAATGAATCCACATTTCCTTCTTTTGTGTTACTGGAATGCTTTGTTTTCAGAATCCTTCCAATGGCCCTAAAATGGCTTAAAGGGGACCTCAAGGGGTTTTATAATCATAAATATAATTTTATATTAAAATACTTGTATAAATGTAAAATCAATCACTTAAATTTATACATATTATATTTATTCTTATTTGGTCATGCATACCTGGATTTTGACTCCCATCATCTTTGAAAGTCTCCAAAAAATTTCACAAATGTCCTATATGAAGATTCTTATAGGAATATCTTTCTGCATTGAGATACTGATCTGTAAACACTACAGGTGCATCTCAATAAATTAGAATGTCGTGGAAAAGTTATTAAATCGTGTATTAAATAAATTCAGTGCACACAAACTGAAGTAGTTTAAGTATTTGGTTCTTTTAATTGGGATGATTTTGGCTCACATTTCACAAAAACCCACCAATTCACAACAAATTAGAATACTTCATAAGACCAATAAAAAAAACATTTTTAGTGAATTGTTGGCCTTCTGGAAAGTATGTTCATTTACTGTACATGTACTCAATACTTGGTTGGACCTCCTTTTGCATGAGTTTACTAAATACTGTCCGGCTCAAGTGATCTCGTCACTTGTTGAAGGGAGGAATCATCTTTCAACTTTTTTCAGTCGTTGTGCATCACTCAGCCTGGTCTGAGCTCTTGTGTGTTGTTTCCCTACAGTGGGCTTTCGGGGTTTCTCTGTGGGAGCTGATGACCTTGGGACAGACTCCTTATGTTGACATTGACCCCTTCGAGATGGCTGCCTATCTGAAAGACGGCTACAGAATAGCACAACCCATCAACTGCCCCGATGAACTGTGAGTTTGGTTCAAACCTTTAACTTCTGTATTTTAATCATGTTCATATAATTCTTTATTCAAAATAACTTGCTTTTCATGTACAGAGTTAATATTGCAAAATAAATCAACTCTGGTGAACTTGTGTTACTGAGTGACTGGCAAAGCTCCCGAAGTATCAGTAACAACGGCTTTCTTAAATCTTGATTATCTTGTGACGGAGCCAACTGAACCTTTAGAAAATGAAATGGGACAGTTTGATCCAAATACAAGTTACAGATGCTGGCTGTCTGCACAATCTGAACCTTATCGGCATCCTGCAATAGCTAGGGAACAGGAGCCGTGGTGACCAGTCCAGCCAGGATTTACAAAGCAACGAGGGATGTTGATCATGTCAGTGACCCAAACACAGCAAGATTTATATTCTTACACGCACTCGCCGGAACACAGTTTAGAGAATGCAGGAAGAGCTAATCAGCATTGGATCATAACTTAGCACTTTTTCCCATCAGAGAATAAGTGATGAATACGTGTTCTGCGGTTTGCCTTGTGTGTTGGAAAGCCTGAATAGAAACTGAGTGATAAGGTGATCTCAACTTTCACTCAAGCCCTTTTCGAACGCTGCTGTCAAATGTAATCAAGACCAAGAAGTCTTGACAGACAAGATTTTGCTTTGATAAATCTCCTTTGGCTTCATCAGTCACTGATGATCTAATAAAAGTAGATGTTTTGTTTATGTGAAGATGTTCTCTGTTTCAGATTTGCAGTGATGGCGTGTTGCTGGGCCTTGGATCCGGAGGAGAGACCAAAATTCCAACAGCTCGTCCAGTGCCTCACTGAGTTCCACGTAGCGTTAGGGGCCTACGTCTAAACTCGCTCAAACCGGCCGAGTTGTTGAACAGCACTATTGCAGAGAGTGAAGGTTAATGCAGTGCCTTACTTTATAAAAAAAAAAAAAAATAGCCATTTTGTAAAGTGCTTTTATTTCATGCAATATGAAATGTGGCTTTATTTGGAAGATGTAGATGTTGGAGGTCAGGATCTTTTGTATATCACAGCTGCGTGAATATCAAGGGCTATTTCTGATTCTCAAGAATATCATCCACACTTGTTTGGAATGCTGGTATTAGAGTGTCCACATGAAGCTGCTGATCTCTTTGTTTCACGAAGAAGCTTTTTTTTTATAATAGGAATGCCAAGAAACTGACCTAAAAGTCAGGACATTTCCTTTTGGACATTTTAAATATTGCGCAGAGTAATCTGTACATATATTTTCAAAGACTTCAGTGAGAAGAGCTTCATCTCATTAGGTCTCACTGCATTAGTTTGTGCCTTTATTTGATCTAAAAAGACAGTTTGGTGAGAAAACAGGTCTCCACTGCAGAACAAAACGCCTCATCCTGGGCACAGCAGTTTTCTTTTTTCTTTTTGGGACTAAAGATGGTGGAGCCCTACAGCTGACCATAAGCTGAAGCAACATGTTGGGATCCTGCAAGTCAATCTGGACTTTGGTACAGGGTTTTTTCAGATTCCTAAAGTTTTTGATGTTTGACTGTTCTGTGTCAGAACAATGCCTTCCTTGTATGTTTAAATCTGTATGAATACATGGACAACAAAAGAAACATGAGTCATTGTGAATATTTGAAGTGTACGGCCTAGACACCATTTTCAAATTCGTTGTTCCCAATCTATAGGCTCTTCTTTCTCTTCTTGTGATCACTGCATGTTGACTTTTTTAAAGGGTTTTGTGTAAACTGAATTCATACCTATCAATTAAATGAGGCCTTTAAATAAAATGGGATCTCAGTTTTAGTGTTGCTGTTTGTTGCTTTAATGCATGATTTGGTCCGGAGAATGGTTTTATCCCATATACAAACTTTTTCACCCCCTCTTCATTCTTGATACAATAGGAGCATCTATTTTTAGTGATCAAAGCTGTTGTGAACTGTTCTGAATGGAACTATTTTGCAATAGTTTCCGCCTTACTCTGGTGTCATGATAAAAGTGTTGTGCTCTTAATACATAATAACATTGAGAGAGCAGCCAAAAGGCTATTAGTAACTTGTGGGCTGGCCAACTACATATATGTGCAATCTTTATTCACTTTTTTTTTTACTTAACTACTGATTCTATCAGTGGACTATATTTTTCCATATCTGAGAGTTAGCAATTTCAAATGTTTTTTAATGAATGCATTTCTGATGCCATTTTGATATAAAGGAGTATACATCTGTTTTATGCAATGCTGTAATGGAAGGCTGAGTATGTTTCGTGTTGAATTGGAGTAGTGGCTTAGAAAGATTATCACCCTATTCAGAAATATTGTTCTCCTTTCCCTGGTTCTGACATGCTTCATTCTGTATTATATACAGTTTAATCTTTGCTAATGGAAGAAATGTATTCAACAAATGTGTCTTAAACTTATAAGAAGGCATGCACACCTATCTACGTGAAAAACATGCTGAGACAAAAATCACTGACACCATCTGTGACCTGCTCTCTGTGTCCTCCGGATATGAAATGTAGAAATATAAAAGGTTAGATGATGCTTCTTAAGAAAAATTTATGTATCTTGTATAACTGGTTATTCTCATAACCCCTCCTTTCTTTCTTCATGATAAGATTTCGAAAGAAGACAGTGGGGAGCGTTAACCTTTTGTGCAGGTACTAGCTTAAAACAGTTAATCATTTTTTAAAAGCTTGTTGTAAGTAGATGATCACTTGAATACCTATTCTAAAATTTCTGTATTCTCTTTTCTGTGCTGTCAATGTCACTGTACTATTACTTTATGTAGAATTTCATTTTAGTGGAGCTCTTAATGCACTTAAATGGATATTTGGGTAAATGAAAAATCTGTCATCAATTACTCTCCTTTACGTCATTCCAAGACTTTTGTTCATCTTTAAAATCCTGTCTCTCCATTGAAATTCCATTCCCCAAAACGTTCACTCTTCTAAATGTTCATAAAGAGAGCATGCAAGAAATCTAAGTTAAACAAACAGAAACTTTTTACCATATTTGATGTGCTCTCTTAATGCGTGTTGATCAATTATGGGTCACAGAAGAAGAGGGGTTTTCAAACACCAAAAAGAAATGATAAATAAATAAAAGGGTGTAATACAGCTTTACATTTTTGTCCATACATTAGAATGTGTCTTGTTTATTCATTTTTATGACTGTCGTACATTTTTTTTTTTAGCATGATTTACAGAAGACACCTACTAAAATTTCATTTAGTGTAACCTTACATTAAAATACTATTAAAAGACTATTTAAGATTCACAGCTTAGCCCCAAAATATTAATTTAAGTAATAATTAATAGGGCTGGGCGACATGGCCAAAAAAACTAAAATATCACGATAAAACTTTTCATATCGGTCGATATCGATAGCCTAATTATCACAATAAATTTCAAATCTTTATTGTTCTTCCGTAGTAGCATACATTTAGATCACGATAACCAGAGTTAAAACCACACATAGCACCTCAATCCCATGGTAAAAATGCAACTATATGGTTTCTAAGTATTTGTATGAAAAACAGTAGTCTAAATAGCTACATATAGTATAAATGCACAAATGCTATAGCTTCAATCACAAAAAAATACTGCAATTATATTCCATTACTCTTTTAACACATTTAATAGCCTATATGTCTACATTAATAATATAGCCTAATAAAATTTGATATGAACATCCCACATTTCTGCCACAATACTATGGTGCAGCAGCAACTAGTGTTACTAAATCCATGGTAAATGATGGCGATTTGTAGATTGAAAAGCCTTCTGACTGATTATATCACGATAATTATCGTTTTATCGCCCAGCCTAATTAATCATTTTAAAACTTTATTCTTTGTCACTATCCTTAAAACCACTAGGTTTTAACCATTTGTCAGCAAGGAGTTTTTGTACGAAATTGAAAATCATTTAAAGGGGTCATATGATGCGATTTCAATTTTTCCTTTCTCTTTGGAGTGTTACAAGCTCTTGGTGCATAAAGAAGATCTGTAAAGTTGCAAAGACTAAAGTCTCAAATCCAAAGAGATATTCTTTATAAAAGTTAAGAGTCAGCCACACCTACCTAAAACAGCTCGTTCTAACACGCCCCCACATGTCTACGTCACGATGTGGGAAGATTTGCATAACGCCGCCTAAATGTTCACGCAAAGAAAGAAGGCGTAACTTTTATTCTGGCTGTAGTATTGTTGTTGCCGTGTCGTGAAGGCGCTGTGTGTTTCGTTGTGAAAGCGAAACTACTTTGTTTGGTCTTCCAAAAGAGGACGATATCTGCTTCGTCATGCCTGGAGCTGATCCGTGCTGGTTGCTGAGGGAATACATCAACTTAGTGCTGTGGATCGCCAGATCGGCTTTCACCGTGGACGAAGCGGAGTCCAGCCCGGGGTCGTCACGTGGTTGCCGCAAGCCCTCCGAACGCTCCTTCGTCGAATCCGCCGGCCGCGCCGTTCTCAAGACCGCCGCCTCTGCTCACTCTAGGCCACCTTGTGTGACGCTGTGTTTCGTTGTGAAAGCGAAACTACTTTGTTTGGCCTTCCAAAAATGGACACGACTAGAAATCAGTGGTTAAGTTGTATTTACGACACTGTTCCAGAACACTTCAACCCAAATATCCAGATGTGTGCAGCACATTTTATGGAGGACTGTTTACTGATCCTGGGAGAGTAGACTACAATGTCGGCTGTTCTGACTCAGAGACTATAAGTACGTTTTTTTTAATATTTAAAGCGAGTTTTTTGGGCAGTGTAGAGTATGGCTTGTTGTTTGTCATCTCTCCGATCACAATTGCAGACATGGTTTTATGTTTGCGCGGCGCGATGCAACGCATTACATTACACCAAATACACAAAATACTTTTCTTTTTAGCAGCATCATATGACCCCTTTAAAATATAATGCAATTTAGTATGATCACATAGCCTATTCTTTTATATATTTTGTAAGTAAAGGTCAGATTAAGTATGTTGTTTCATTTTTACATAAATATGTCTGTTAAGCTGAATGACCATTGTTTGTTACTTGGTATTGCAATGTTTTTTAGCATTATTCTGTATCAATAAATCTTAATAATCTTAATAGTATTCCTGAGTAAATGACAGCAGAAGCAGATGTTGAAAAATAACAAACATTTCATTCTACTGTTCTGATGCTCCCTGCCATGCTTGCTTAATTTGTCACTTTACTTCTGATGTACTTAGGCACAAAAATTACTGCTTGCAGCTATATTTATGAATACTCTGTTTGCCAACAATGACTTAATCAGGATGGGTATTCTGGGTGGAGAGTCCCCTCATTGTCCTCTCTTGAACTTGTGATATTGGGAGGAGAAACACTCTGTCTAGAAACAGTAGTAACTGCAATCAGTGTAACAGTAGTACAGTAATAACTGCAATCCTTTTTTTGGTTTCCTGCTGCTCTAGCTACTGGGTCTTTTTGGTGGTGCCTAGCAACTCTCTGTTTGTGGGCATCTAAAATAATGACACAAATAAATACAAAAATGCATCAAAATATTAATATACAGTTTGTCAGTGCAAACATTCCTGATTCATCTGAAATATAAATTAGATCTAATTTATATCTGTCTATCTATCTTTTATTTATTTATTTTAATGTACAATAAAAGTACCATTTTACAGAATGGATGGCATGTGGTGAAATTGTCTAATATTTAAGAACTATAAACTCACTTTGCAGAAGCACCACAATTCAATCTGTTCATCATTTAAAGTGGTGGTGTCTCTTCAGAAGACTTTAATTAAATTGATTACCTTTACAGTGTTTTATGAACTTTTTGAAGCATGTAACTTTTTTAGGGGAATTTACTTTTAACCAAGGGACAAAAATCTCAGGTTTCATTAAAATGTCTTCACTTGTGTTTCAAAGATGAGCAGAAGTCTTGGGTTCAGAACAACCTGAGGGTGTGCAACTGATGACAGAATGTTTTAATTTTTTCCCTGCAGAACACAAAATAGGATATTTAGAAAAAAGCTAAAGCCTAAACAACATGGACCTCACTGACTTTTTGTTTTATTGTGTTCCACAGAAGAACGTGAGTCATACAGGTTTGGAACAAAGTGTAATTAATAACTTAAATAAATGACACATTTTTAGTTTTTGAGTAAACTATCGCTTGAGAATAACTGTCATATTGGCAGTCTAAGCACTTCTTGGAAACTTGTCAGAAAAGAACAATGTTACAGCAATGTATTTCAATGAGATGTAGCTGTGATGTAACATTTATGGTTTCTTCAGTGAGGTCTCTTGTGTCAAATGTTACTCATTTCCAAGATTTTGTTTCACTTGAATACAGATGGACATATGGAACAACGGAAGACTTGGCCTATTAGGGAAAGGCCAACCGAGAACTCTTAAAGTGACAAACCACTAAAGGTTGATATAAAAAGTAAAATAAAAAAATAAATATATATTTTTCAATATAACTTGCTATACAGAAAATATCTTATCCTCCTGAGACCTTCTGTCCTCAGTAGAGTACATTATATTTTAGTGAATTTCTCTGAGAACTTACATGTCACAGTTTTAAGTCTGGATGTCCCAAAATGCATGTTTATTACGCATTTTGAGAGACACAACAAATGAATAGGGTAAGAAATTATATTTCAATATTTCCTATGAAATTAGATATTATGAAAATCTTGCCAATTAATACTCCCATTATTATACTTATTTTTTTCAAAAATAAAACAAATAAATAGGCCATTTCAAAATATGAATAAATACCATAATAGTTTATAAATAACACTGTCTGTTAAGAAAAGTAACCATTTTTTCCTTATAAACTGTAATATTGTATAAATATTACTGTACTATAATAATGAATTTTTTACAAAGTGTAAAGATTCCCGCTTTAATGTCAAATGTAACGTGTAAAAAGGTGGCTTCGCCCAGTAACCATGTTACCCCAAGAGCACATTAATATGCAAATTAGATACATTGTATATAATGGGAAAACCCTCTTATGGCCATTTTACACACACATAAAACAAAATGGTATATCAAATCATCCTGTTATATCTTTCATAACATAGCTGAGAATCATCTTTATACAA